TTTTGTGTTTGAGGAAACATGCATTTTGCATGTGATTATTTCCAGCTGTTCAACAAGATTAGGGTGCCCTTGCACCCTAATACGCAAAAGTCCCATCTCAGGCACTTTTGCAAAGATGAGTTCATAAATACTCATGTTCTCTGCATTCAGCAATGCAAGAGCAAGTCATGAGAGATTGAGAAACATGAAACTGAGTTAGTTAGGGTTTAACTCAATATCCCTGGTAACTCAAGTATTTTTCCTTACACAACTGATTAACTTTTTCCTCATCTTCTCACCACTGCTACTAATTCAAACCCAGTAAAGCAGGCCAAGGAGTGGAGCTTCTCACAGAGCCACTGCAGGATTTAGACTTTTTAGATTAGATTTTGGAAACTGAAAGTCTGTCCTTCACTCCAAACACAAAAGAAAAGCAGGATGCCCTTTCAGGATTTAGCCACTTCTATTTTCTGAAGATATGTCGTCATTTAGATAGTCAGCAAGTTTTTAAAGAAGCCTCTGTATACTTCAGAATCAGTGAAATGAAGACATTTGTTTAAGCATGTTGGATTTAATACTGTATCATCTTGTGCTGTTCTCTTGTGGTCCTCCTGCACGACAGCTCAGTAACACAGAATTAATATTGGGAAAAAATGTTTAACTTTATTGAAGAAAAATAAACTTTAATCAATATAATCCAAATCAACTCCTTTGCTACTTGTTTTCATTTCAGAACAAAATGAAAACAAATTCTCACGGGTAAAAAGTTATCTGCAGAAGAGAAGCATATGAGATGACTCAATAGGAGCAAGGCTGACTGTAGCAGACACCTCAAACACTTTCAGAGACTCAGCATAAACCTTAAGATCACCAGTAATTCACAGCAAAACCTGCTCCCCAAAATCAAGCTGCTTTTTAACAGACTGAAGATTATGCACAGCCCCACAGAGCTAAGGTACCAAGGGTGTTAGGAGGCTCCCACCTCCACGAGCCTGAGCCACCTGCCTCCTCCTGCCACCAGCGCCACGCTCCCACCATGACAACTCTTAGCTTTGAGCACACACACCTGCCTTCCCAGGGCCACCATTGACAGAGGCTTGGAAAAACAGAAAATAGCCTTTTAAGAAGACTACAAGCTTTCAGCAGGCATAACCAAGCTGCAAAAAATAAGCCTTTTCTCTGCAGCCTAAAATTGTGTGCATGAGAGACTAAGCAGTAGCATATCATGCAGAATTGCATCTACCATTAAGGTAAACCACTGTGAAATCCAGTTGTGCACTGAAAACAGACCTAAGATTTTTGTCTCTCCTTCCAAGATCTGTGGAAATGGCTGAGATGACACGAAGCCAGGTCCCCCCTGCCCCTCCATAGCTACACATACAAGAGAAAAAGCCCTCTATCCAGCAAACATGAAATATATTCCATTTGGACTCACTTTGAGGAACCTGTAGTTCAGACCTGATCCACTGCCATTCTCATCTGACTTGCAAAATTATATTAATATAACAAAATTGGAAGAAAAATCAGCCCATTTAAATAACAAAACTTCATTAGATTACTTCTTCAGCTTACTGGCTCTCACAAGTGACAGCAGCAGTACAGAAATGCCTCTGAACCTGCAACACTTTACAGCGGGCCTATGGTTCCTGGACCATACACTGTATATTTTTATCTGCATCTGAAGAGCATGCACGGTGAGGAGCTTGGCAGCTCGCTGTCCCTGCTGTCATGCGAGCAGGTAGCAGGGCCAGCTAAGAGCAGCCTCTTTCCTCAGGAGCACTGGAGGAGAGGCTGCAGCACCAGGAGGCCGGGCTCCCCGGGCCGCTCTCCAGCAGGGCGGCAAGGCCCGCAGCCCTGGGGCAGGGCGCCTGCTGCAGGAGCACCCGGGGAGCTCCACGTGCCTTGATTAACACAGCAGTTATCCCAGCTATATTTGTCTTCATAAATCCCATGTTTCTCTCCAGGAACAGGGGACAAGATCCAAAAAGGGAATGGCTAAGTGCCATGAGCAGCAATGCTAATGCAGGGTTGAGCCTGTGGCACATTCCTGCCAGTTCTTCCCAAGCCACATTTAAATGGCACAGGGTATTAGCAAAACAGCAGATTATGCACTAGCTCTTACAAACAGAGAGGCAGAGGAGCAGGATCTGCACGTGCATGTCGAGGAGCTGGGGGGTGCACCTGGTGAGCACAATCGATATTAAGAGTTTGTGAGTCCTCCCATTTGGAGACTCATCCCCTTTAGACCACCCAAGGGGCTCAGAGGGGCCTTAACCCAGGCCCAACTCACCCACTGAGCCCTCCCCACATGAGAAACTCTCCATGAGCTGTAGGGCCTTCATCTTGCCCACGTCCCCCGTGCTTCCACGGGCTCACAAACTGGCCTCGTTTATTCCTGGGAGACTTGGCACAGCAATGCTCCTGAGGCTGAGAAGGAGACCCCCCGACAGCCCCTCCAATCCTGAGGAACAGGAAAACCGCAAGGCCGTGCCCAGCCCGAGCACCCAGCACCTCAGTGTGCGCTGCCCTCGCTGCCAAACTAACGTGCCCAGAAACAGAGTTCACACCAATTATTACCTGATGCAGTGTGGATGCTGTACATAACACAGCCACACACCCGCTATCAGCCCAGAGCAGGTCGCCCACTTATGCCACATCTCTGCAACACAGCAACTGTTTATGGCCAGAAAAACAGTAGCTAGCAGACTTCACCATAATTACTTGAATTTCCAGCTTCATCCTTCCACGCTGGAGGTAGTTACATGGTAATAACACTCTTCTTTCACTTCCAGACTTGTACCATAACAGATCTGCTCTCTTTTGACAGAAAAAAATTCAGATAATAGAGGCCTCAACAAAGAAAGAGACCAAGGACAGCAGTACATTTATTGCTGGAGGACTCTATAATAAGCTCAAATTCCCAAGTAATAAAGAAACCAGTCAATGTTTCATTCTTTATTTCTTTGAAAGTCATTTAGTGCTGTTTTATACAAAACCCCAATCTTGCTCCCATACAAAGCGGGCGCCAGTGACCTATGGCCAGGTTGGGTCCTGTCAGCTCTCGTTCTACCCTGGGTGCTCTGGGCACGTTAACTCTCCCACTGCAAAAATCTCTTTGCGCTTAAGAAATGGCTGCTGGCAGTTGCCCAGCTTATTTCTATGTCTATGCTCCATCAGAGCTCAATTACCCTGAAAACTTCAATAAATGTTACCAGGATCTCTGCCACACTTCTTAGAGGACATGAA